TAAAAATTGCCGGACGTAGAAACGCATTACTTTTAACAATTACGTAGTCTGTATCTAACAATTAAGTTTGCCTCGAATAGGGCATCTGGATGTTCTACTTGCTTTCTCATCGTCCTTGATTCTCTGAGAATAAAACGCACTCGATTGTAGCGTCGCAGCCATAAATATGCGATTTCATCGGATCATTGACGTCATTTCATGATGCGCAGTCTTGGTATAGAATGTAGAATATTCAAGCTACACGTGATCAATTGGTTGTACTCCAACGATTCGTCTGCATTCATCTGGCCTCGTTCGACTCATTAACAGATTATTGTTAACACAATGTTAATCAGCTTTATAAATATTGTTACTTAGCACGTAACATACGGCTACCATCTTGCTATGTATATCTGACTGCACTTACAGTGTCATAATATTTGAAGTATACAGTAACAGTGTTTGTTACTAGCCAGCGTTTTTTCTTTGAAGTCGGATAAACAAGATGAAAGAGTTTTTCGAAAAACATTTTAGTACATTAAAAATCTTGTTTGCTCTCTGTTTAAATAAATACTCGAATCGGTTTTACGAGCAAAGATTCCTCCGTTACGAAAGTTTCCCAATCAGACAGCCACTAATATCAATTGTACCTGCAAGAGGAGCGATCGATCCGCGGGTTTCTTCGCGTTTATTACCCGGCAACACGGCCGTTGCATAAACACGTAAGCCGCGTATTTCTGGAGAGGTGAGCAACGCGGCGCATAGTAAGGCCACGACCGTGTATCTTTTTTAATGGAGACCGGACTGGTATGACGTCTATTTACGTTGAAGTCCGTTTCAACGAGCGTGTTGAAATTTTCCTCGCACGGCATATCAAGGATACACGGTGGCGTTAAGAGAACTTCTGCCAGCCGTGAGGTATTAGCCAGTCACACAGGTGCAGAACGATGCGAGCGAAGGAGTCGGTAAGAAAGACGGTAGACAGAAAAAAGGCCGGGCTACGTTTCAAACGGTGTTCTTAAAGAAAATTCCATTAGCTTATTACACATTTAGAAGGTTGTGCTGGTGGCGTAGAATTTTATATCAAATAATACAGAGTGATTTTTAAAAAATGTTGTATCTACACTGTAGAAAATGTAGTTCATTCGGTAAATAATGTATATGCCAATATTGTATGTCATGGATATTAAAAAAATACAGTTTAGTGAACTTTCTTACAAATTATGTTCTTACTCTTTCTATGTAATTAGAATGCAATTAGGAATATTAAGAAATAGATTCAACCTTCACTTGGGTTTTCATTATTCTTTTTACTTTTATTAAAAACTCCTCGAATCGTTGGGGCAATATGTATAATGGAACCTTGAAACAGGAACAGGTCATATTATCTTTTAAAAAATGCTGTACTTTGAAATAGATTTAACATTCTTCAAATGGTACAGGAACTGCGCGAGGGTTAATATAATAGAAGTTAGCATTGGTTACGTTGCACTGTTCCTAAGTGTTAAATCCGTCGTAGGAAGTTCGAAGTAACATTGAAATTGATTTAGTTAGTGCATTCTCGTAGCCAAAGTCACCTGGAGTAACAGCGATCGAGTTTCTACAGATCATTGAATCACAAACCGAACTAAACTCTATGCTGGCGTAATAATATAAACGATGATTCGATCTAAAGTTAATGATTGTCTTTATTAATGCAGAACGTAGCTTCATTAATTTAACTATATATTCTATATTATGTACATAGATTAATTGTGCAAGCGGTTATTATCACCTGAGGTCTAAGTCTAAAGTTGTTTGCATACTGATTTAAAGCAACGCTAACTATAATACGTATACGCTAACGTGTATGTAAATACGTAGTAGTAAGCAACGATTCTTTCATTAAAGATTGCATAAGCGAAGTTTTATGGACGACTTGGTAATAGTCTTTTTGCGACGGCTTAATAATAAAATTGCTTTACAACCTGCGACGACGACACGTCCCGTCGCCGTTCCCTATTTGCAATAAGTATTCATGTTACTGCGAACACTATGATTCATGAGGAAATGAGATAAACTTGTACTATGTGGCACTGACTTTATTCGAAGAAACTTGATCAATTATCCAATAAGGATACTTTTTATAGATACAGAAAATGACGAAAGAATTTTCAATAGAAATAAAAATTCTTGTTTATCAGAGATGATAAGTGAGCTTCAGCCAATGTTCTACTATTTTTCACGTCTCTCGATAGACAATAAAATTTTACGAACGGTTGAACGACTTATCGGTTTTGAACGTTTTGTCGTGTAAGTAGTTTTCTGAACGAATGGCGGCTCTGAATTCCATCGTACAATTTCTTCTGAAAATATCCGTCGTTCCCTTTACAACCTTCTGACGCTATGATATCTAAAAATAAATGAGAAATGAAATATCATTCGTAGAATTCAAAGCTTAACATGAATCTTAAATGACTTTTCCTGTTGAGGTGCCTTACCCCAAGTTACTTATTATTAATTTCATTATATTGCATCCAGCAGAATGTTTTGTTTGACGATCTGTGTACATGATTCAATATTAAGAGAAGACAACTCATGAAGAAGAGCGTATGCATTCTTCTATTATCATCTCATCGTACAACCCGTTATGATTCTGACAAACGAATTGCGCTACCATTACACGAGGAAGCATCAAAACAATGTTCGCGATCCCGTAGACAACTGGCGCTGGTAATTGAATCACAGCGAGACAACTTTTGCATGGGGGCAACGCTACGTGTCAGTCGTGTGACAACTTTCTCGAGACGAATTTACATTGTAAACCGCGCCAGCTGAAACGACACGTGTACCAACGACTATTTGCAGAGGACATCGATGAATAAGGAAATGAAAAACGTTTCACTTATCCATTCTCTTTGTGCCCCAAAGATCGCTGATTTACAAATTCCCGAATTAATGTTAGAGTAAAATTAAATTCATCATGAATAATATAAATTCATTAATTTTCCTGTTGCGTTCTTCTCACTTTTAAGCAAACTGCGGACTTTTGGTATTTATTTTGGAGAAGAGTTCGTGGTATTATGTCAATAGTAGATTCAAGGAATAAATTAAATTGAAGAAAATAAGCGATGAGTGAAAATCATAAATCAGTTCTCGAATTTCTGTTTGTACGTTATAATTTCTCGAGGCTATTATATTATTTCACGCACGTTCACGGCTACGCGAACAGCTGTGTAGCTCGGTTTCCATGGCCGGGTCGCGGGGGCAATAATGATTTTAAAGGTCGATCCCGAAGACGGCGAGATAACCTGTTAAGATCGATGCGGAGCACCGGTTCTCATGTAATCGGGTTTCCGTGATCGCGCATATACAAAAGGGAATTATGCAACAACAGCTGCGTGAGCTGTGCATGTAGAACCTGCCCAGTGATTGCGCAATTGCTTCGACACACAGGAACGTCGAGGGAGGATCAAACGTAGCTGCTCTCTCGTGTAGAGCAAGTACAAGCTTTCCGGTTTTTAAAATAGGTCGAGGGTAGCAATCGAGGAGATATGCTCCGTAGGTTGGAGCTCGCAACAATTTGTCGAGCAATGGTAGAATAGAAAGCGACGGGTTCATCGCTTTCCTTTCGTTGCGAATAAAGTTTCCAATCTTATTTGGCAACAACGGCGGCAGTCTACGTTTTTTGTTTTGCAACAAAATGTAACGCTGTTCGAATAGGCTATTTTAACGATCTTCTTCCGCGACAACCGTCGCGGATGCTTTCTAACGAGGAAGCATTTATGTGATGCACATATAAATTGCTAAGACAATTTACTGAACGACCTTGTTGATCACATTATAAAATGCCGTAAGGAAAAATAAATGACAGTGAAAGTTAATAGAACGGGAAGACGCAGTATGATGCAGTTCTATCTGTGATTAATTTTTTCTTATCGCTTATATTTACTTGGCTTTTGCACGTGCCTTAGAAATTGATTACTTACTATCCCGAAGTATTTCCAGGAGCACGACTTTTTTCATTGGCGACGTGTTAAGAACAACAACAAGTCGAGCGTCTCGCGAGCGTAATTCAGTTCGATCCCGCGCGCGAAGCGGATCGTAAAGTCGATCGTTGGCTATAAAAACGGGCTGCGGGGGGTGGTTGGGGGTTGCTCGATGGTTCAGCGTCGACGTTGCGTAAAAGATACGGTTATTGCCGATGGCGCGGGACTTTGAAATATTCACCGAGGGAGCAACGGGTATGAATATAATTCCGGGCATTGTCCCGCGAAAATTGATTCCTCCGCGCGTGCGCCCGCGGACCCCAGAGCACGTATAACACAAACGGGTTAAAATTAAATTTCCTCGGCGCGGCGCGGCGCGGCACGGCGTTGCCCGCTGAGCAGCGAGTGAAATTAAATTGGACTTACAGGTGGCATTGACGGACACGGACACGAATCATTTAAATTTTAAAGTAGTCCCTCTTTCGTTCTGCAAGCTGTCGCGCAGTTCGAGCACCCCAGTCACTGTCCTCTCGTTTCGACACGACATGTCGCAGTTTGTAAACGCGAAAAACCTACCACCCATTCTTCCTCCTCGAGCTTTCATTGTCTGACTTTACCAGGTTTTTAGTGTGAACTTATTGCTGCAATTGTATCTGTAATTATTGAACTGAAGTGCGAGCGTTTGTACTATCAACAAATAATGCATATGCAATTTTTGTAACTTTTGAGGGTATTAAAAATATTGAGATTAAATTATGTCGTCATAACTGATTAGATCAATTATACTTCTTCCACATACAATTCTGCAAAAATTATTTGGAGTCGAGTCAAATCGAAGTATTTTTAATTAGCATAATTCCGCATTCAATCTCTTTGTTGAGTTACATTCAATGAGCAAAGAATTCTGTGATCTCTCTTAATTATCGTTATTATTAAATGAAATTAATAAATATAATAATTAAAGTATAACAGAGAAATCTTCGATAACAATAAGTTATTAGAATAGTCAAAAAATTCGTTCACATTAATACGATTTGCTTTATTTTTTTGCAGATTTACCCTAGTCTGAAGGAAGAGGGATCGGTCCTAGGCGGTGCCACGCAAAGGGTGACGAGGTAGATAACCGTTTAAAGAGATGCGTACGCAATTAAACTGGTGGCTGGCCGGGCAACTTTATCGGTGGCGCGTAACAGGATTTAAGTGTCGTTTTTAAGAGCCGGCCGCTTGGTGCGATGCGGTGTTGGAAAGTTGCCCGTGTGCCTCGGACCGAAATTGCGCCCGCTGTTAATAACGCCGCGGACGAGCCGAGATAATAAGAATCTCGAACAGAGTCGGGTTCGTTCTCCATTAATTGCACCCTTTTATTCTCCCGCTTTGGTTTCGCGCGTTATACCAAATGGTTATTGCGTCGCGTTTAGCGATTAGCGAATGCATATATTCGGCCCGAGCTGTTTCGCCTTGGCTAGACTATTTTCTACCAGTTAAACCAAATCTAAATTGTTATTAAATCCTGCCAGTTAAGTCAAATTTAAATTGTAATAAAACACTAATCATCGATATAGGAATTAGGTCGATGTTTCTAATCCTTTGAATGCGTGAATGAAACTGTATTTCATAATGGGAATACTTATACGAAAACTAAAATTGTTGAAAAGGAGAAGGTCATTTTAAGTAAGCTACTTTATAAATTATTTCAGAATAGAACCACGTCTATAAGTAGCCAAGAAATTATACGTTATAAATATTAATGAAAAATTCTTATAATAACGAAGAATTCTTATAATCTGTTATACAATTGATTATAATTAAACGAACAATTTTAAAGGAGGATCTTCTCAATGAAGGTTCTCGTCAGGCAGATTTTTCTTTAATATCGCGTTGAAAATAATTAAAGGGGAAGGCAGGCAGCAATCTATATTTTCCGAGACTCGTTTACCCGGCGCGATGCCTCTTAACGTTTCATTCGAATTAGCCGCTGTTATTCCAGTTTCCTAGAGAAACATCAAATATTGACCAATTAGCCGTGCTGGTGCTTCCCGTTATATATCTTAAATTACCGTTGCGCTCGCGGTGCAACGCAGAGAAATTATGCCTCCCGTTTGCGGGCGAAACATGCGTCCCGGGTAATTAGGAATTGGAAGACGGCGTGTCGGTCTTATCGATCAACTGACACGACTCGTGGGTGCGAACGTGAATTTAGATGTATTTTGAACGCATTAGGTACAAAGATGATTTTCAGCCTCACTTTATTCAAAACTACACACAATATCTGTTTTCACTTTTAATAAATTCTTCACTTGAAGCTATAATGTTCCTTTTGACAATAGAGAAATTTTGAACATTCTCAAAAAAAAGCAAATTAATATTACAATAAGTTTTAAATCAGTGCATTTTTTTCTTCTATTTATTGGAAACCTTTTCATCTTTTGTTTCTGTCTACCTTCACACATTTTTCTATCAATCTATATTTTTCTCATCTTCCTTTATTTTTACATAGCTTTCCTTTACTGTTACAATTTTATTTTCCTCCCTCTTCTACTATATTTCTGTTCTGTTTATTTTTTATATTTATTCGTTTCCTTGCGTGCCTGCCCAATTTATTTTCTACTTCCCCTTTTTTATTTCCCGCCTCGTTTCCATTTTTCTGCAACATATCCTTCTCCTATTCGTAGGAAAATCGCGTACCGTGAAAATACGTCGGTTGACGGAAATGATGCATCAATATTGAAGCTCGTCAACGTTCGACGTTATTTCCTTATAAAATTAATTGAAGCTTACGTGAAACGTCAGAACCAGAATCGATTAACCAGGAATGGTATCATATCCATTATAAAATCTTTGGTGAACTTTTCAGACATTCGTGTTTCTACCGATTCATTTTTAGGAACCTTACCATGTTCAACATGTACGACGGCCAAGTAGATTACCTTTGATATTAAAGAGATTAGAAAGTCGAATCATTATTTAATATCTCCTTCCTTGAACGATTATCTAATATTCAATCAATAAAATAAACTGAGGCTGTAATAAAAACGCTTTTTTAAATAAAAAATAGAAAATTACATTCGTAACGTGAATAAAATTTCGAGATCAGCTGCGTTGGATGTATGTAGGTATAACATGAATTTGACAAATGTAACGTCTGTCGCATATGGGAGACTTTCTATGAAAAACATTCTACGTATACGAAGAAATGAGAAGAGATCGTCAGAATGATTTGGCAAGCAATCTCACTTTGAAAAAACAATTCTCACCGATTTCTAAGGGGCCGGTTTTTATTTAACTTGTTATTCTCGCGAATATTTCTACACCAGACTTGATTCGCTTGTTCTGCTTTAAAGGGAGGATTCACGACGGGGGAAAAACAAGCGACGGAAGAAAGAAGTAACAAAACAGTGGGACGCGATGCGGGAAGAAAAATAACACGAGTTTCTCGCGACGTAACCAACGAAACGGGGATTTAAAGTCCCGCGAGCGATTTGCGAGCGTGTCTGCCGCGATTTTTCCCGTGTAGAGCTCGAGCGTTCAGAAAAAGGGTGAAACTACCGTCCGCGTGTCCGTGCCGTTGATCTTCGTTTTCGTTTTGCCTACTTTAACGCGTAAATTGTTTCTCCACTTAAGGGAAAGCTTTGCCAGGGAAAAAGAAAGTACATCGTGTTGCTCAGGATTGGATAAAGGATTAAGATTCGTTTAAGTCTTTTTTTTATATTTTTGAAAATTATGCACAATATTTCTGGTTTCATATAATAGATGAATTCATTATAAAATGCTACTTTGTTTATTGGTTTATTCTTTTATTTTTACTGATTTTGCTATAAAAGCAGGAGTAAAAATTCAGAGTTTCTCTATGAAAGGCGAAGGACAAGATCCAGGCACAATATCGCGAATTAAGATCTCGACCACGTGCGGCTTTTGTCTCCATATATGAGGATAGGTTTTAGTCCTGGACACAGAATCCACGGCGTAGGCCGCGTTTAGACTGGTTTTTCCACCCACGTACGTCGCGTTCCAACGCGATTCCTTTTTAAGGTCAGTGGAACGAGCGCAGGTGTTCAAAAATGAGAGAATCGTTTCACCCTCGATTTGGATAAGATCCTACATCGAATCGATCGCAACGATATGGCTGCGTCAGCATTTAAATTGTTATACAGAAAGTGGCAGAAATTAAATGATATGCGCAGTAATGATTCGTATTCATAATTGGAAAAAATAGGTTGTACTAAATATATCTTCAATTGATGGCTGTAATGCATAATTCATTACGTCATTTAAAACATGATACATGATTGCGATGAAGGAAAAATTTAAAAAAGTAGAAAACCTTTGAATTTTTTGAGGAATAAAAATCATTATATATTTTTGAGAGTAAAATGTTCTTTTTTAGAGGTAGGAAATTCTTCAAATTTTCAAGATTTATATGTTATTTTATAAAATAAGTAAAATTGTATATGAAAAATATGTAGTGGCAATTTCTCTTTGAATTTCATTCAATATAAATGTTGTTCTTCAGTGTGAAATATTTCTTTACATTTAATACGTTAATACGCAATTCGTAATTTGTTTCCAAAATCAGTTACACGTTACGAATCTCGCTTTCGTCTGCAACTGGTTAACGATTCTGCTTTACGCGCTCGGTTGTTTTATATTCCGAACGGGGAATCTCGTCTCGCATAAGCACAGGTGGTACTGTAGCATGTTTATACGCGCAGAAGTTACGAGCATCGGGGCTATTTTCACTGAACTTTCCACCTTCCTCGTCTTCGTCGACCTTCTCTTTCCTGTATAGTACTTTTGCTTTTTCACGTTTCCCTTTTTTATACTCGCTGGAAAGGATGGAATAATTTGAAACCTGATTTGTAGTCCGTTGATTCGCAGAATCACGATTTTGTCTGTGAGAGGATGGTAGGAAAAGTTTTTGTTTCAACATTTTGTCTGATTAAATGTACACCTGTACTAATTCTTACTATAACATAATTTACCAGATAGTAGTAGAACATCTAAAATTAAAATCAAACATAATTTATTTAAATATTACTGAAAACTTTGAAGAGGACAAAAATATTGAGAAGCGAAACTACTTCTGTTTTTTCTTATAAGTCTAAAGCAACTGCGCCATGTTGGATGTAAACGGAATTGAGTAGCAGAAAAACCAGATACGCGCGTTACATTTTCGACGTTCGATTTGCACGCGTTTCCAGAGTGCACCACGTTTTTTCTTTCCTCGTCTTTCAATTCTCTGACGTAGTTCTTCCTCGCTCTCACTCTACCTTACTCAACCTCTATCCTCTAATTTCGTCTTCCACGGGGCTACATTTCCCTCGTTCGTGTATTCGACTATCTCTCAGCGCTATTTCTATTTCACTCCGGTTTCTTTTCCTTTTTTCTGTCCGCCTTCTATTCGATCGACGCGGTCACAGCGCTCTCCATTCTCGTCCCGCGGGAAGCGAATGGACTTTTGTCTTTCCCGAGATTTTCGACGGCGCAGTGTGGCGCGTAAGGTTTTTCCAGCGGACAGATAAACGTGTCACGGATCACGAGTCCCGTGGCTCTCTTTTCAAATGAACACCTGTGCGCGGCTTTCATCTCTCGGAACTGGGTTTCTGGGATAAATCGTCGTGATTCTGAGTTAAATTACCCCTCGGATAGCCTTCGGCTTCTTTTCGGCCCGATTTGATCGCGATCTCGTTCCACTGAAATTTTCGGATTCCTATTCTTTTTTTACCAGTATTAATTAAACGTCTTATGTTTTACTAGGCGTATGAAGTAACGTCCTAATAATGTCTTGACACAAAAACTGTCCATTATTTCTAGCAGAAAATACGTAATCGATGGTAGTCAATTAATTTCTAAGTAGTCTCTGTTGTCGTTTGACAATCAGTCACCTGTTATATGTAGATTCTCAATCTAATTATAAAAATCAGATATTATATTGTAGTTTTAAATTATTTTAGTAATCAATTATCATCTGATAAAAGTTCATAAAAATCTTTGATGAGCAGGCACATCTTTATAAGAAATCAAATGACAATCATTTATCAGTAATTTGAATATCTGTTATCAATTCGATTTACGTGTTTTCTCGAAAAGTTTCTCGGGAAAGAGTGTCAATTAAACGTTATCGCCGGAAACACGAGATGAACGGGGTGAAACACTATGTTGGATGTAAACGGAATTGAGTAGCAGAAAAACCAGATACGCGCGTTACATTTTCGACGTTCGATTTGCACGCGTTTCCAGAGTGCACCACGTTTTTTCTTTCCTCGTCTTTCAATTCTCTGACGTAGTTCTTCCTCGCTCTCACTCTACCTTACTCAACCTCTATCCTCTAATTTCGTCTTCCACGGGGCTACATTTCCCTCGTTCGTGTATTCGACTATCTCTCAGCGCTATTTCTATTTCACTCCGGTTTCTTTTCCTTTTTTCTGTCCGCCTTCTATTCGATCGACGCGGTCACAGCGCTCTCCATTCTCGTCCCGCGGGAAGCGAATGGACTTTTGTCTTTCCCGAGATTTTCGACGGCGCAGTGTGGCGCGTAAGGTTTTTCCAGCGGACAGATAAACGTGTCACGGATCACGAGTCCCGTGGCTCTCTTTTCAAATGAACACCTGTGCGCGGCTTTCATCTCTCGGAACTGGGTTTCTGGGATAAATCGTCGTGATTCTGAGTTAAATTACCCCTCGGATAGCCTTCGGCTTCTTTTCGGCCCGATTTGATCGCGATCTCGTTCCACTGAAATTTTCGGATTCCTATTCTTTTTTTACCAGTATTAATTAAACGTCTTATGTTTTACTAGGCGTATGAAGTAACGTCCTAATAATGTCTTGACACAAAAACTGTCCATTATTTCTAGCAGAAAATACGTAATCGATGGTAGTCAATTAATTTCTAAGTAGTCTCTGTTGTCGTTTGACAATCAGTCACCTGTTATATGTAGATTCTCAATCTAATTATAAAAATCAGATATTATATTGTAGTTTTAAATTATTTTAGTAATCAATTATCATCTGATAAAAGTTCATAAAAATCTTTGATGAGCAGGCACATCTTTATAAGAAATCAAATGACAATCATTTATCAGTAATTTGAATATCTGTTATCAATTCGATTTACGTGTTTTCTCGAAAAGTTTCTCGGGAAAGAGTGTCAATTAAACGTTATCGCCGGAAACACGAGATGAACGGGGTGAAACACGAGACCGAGAGCGCGGTTAAGGGCAGACGCTTTTAGGAATACGGATTTCCCGGGTTGTCGATTCCCCTCGTTCATCTCGCAATTTCCCGTTTGTCTCCTGAAAGCGAAGATTGTATTTAATTGCACGGAAACCGATCTCGGCCTGCAGTGGATGCGGGAATCGAGCCATCGATGATGAATCGATGGTTAAACGCGTAACGCGCGATGCAGTCAATCTACAGTTCCGTGCGTTTTGCTATTCCTATAAACGGTGAGATGCCTTGTGATAAACTTTAGAGTACGAAAATTTAACTTAGTTCATCGTTATTTATTCGAATAATTTTAGAACTAAACTACATGAAATAAAAAAACAGTATAATGTTAATTATGATTCATAATATAAAAGCTGCCAGGAACTTTAATATATCAAGAATTACAAAAATTATAATAATAAATTAATATATTAATTCATGATTTAAAATTTAAAATACATGTATAATTATATAATTACTGTGATTTATACTATATGTTGTACATATTATTAATTCCGAGAAAATTCAATAAATTATATAAATTATTTATTATCAAGAATTGCAGCTTTTGGCAATATAAGAACGATATTTTGTTAAACGAGCGAGGACATTTTCGCAATTTATATTACCAGTAAAGTTTAATTTAATCACCTCCAATCACTGTCATTGCAAACTCGCTGCGCTTCCAATTAACAATGTAATTAACAAAATATGTAATGATTGTCCTTAACATTTTTAACAATAATTATCAGGCGTTAATTACTTCTCTACTGATGCAATATATTGATTTAATACAAATATCACGGTATCTCAGATTTGCGAAAAATGACGTGATGAATGGTTCCTATGTATCTATTTCCTCCAAAATAACTCGAACGTCAATTTGCGTCCAACCTAGTGTACACGATTTATACACGGTATTTTATTTATGCACTCCGTTAAGCCGGCTACGTACGATCCGCGACCTAATTTATGCATCGGTGAGGCGTGTGCGGATCAGCGATGTATCATTCCTATTGTCCTTCGGCGAATTCAGTGAATCGAGGCCAGAACTGTCAAAGTTCAGTGTGCACGTATTTCGACGTCGCGGGATCTGATACCTATGCTAACCGCGGGTACCGAGTTTTTAATCGCGTCGACGAAAACTTTTAATTGAGATTAACCTCACCAAACTCAGAGATTGCAACGCTCATTTTAAAAGTTAAACCCTAACTTCATTGTTGATATTTTTTCCCAGGAAACGAGAGTCGTATCGTTGAACAAGCTTCATTGAGAAAAATTGAATAAAAAATATCTCGTATAATATTGCAACTGAGAGAAAATACGTTTCGTCTATCTCTCAGTTCATAAAATCGTAGAAACTTTAAAAGGAAATTTCGGAACGGTGAACATTTTTTCGACGCGGCAACCAGTTTTAATCGACTTGCCAACCGGTTTTAATCGACGCACATTAACGTTATTACAGGCGTCACGTTTTTTGTTCCGAGCCATTACGGTCGCGATATTTTTTCCAACGTACAACGAATCGACCGCGGGAAATGGCCGTGAAAATGATGCGCAATTTGAAAAATGCCTGCAAGATAGGCGGGCCCGGGCTCGGTCGGTCTACTCTCCTCTGGTCTCGCAGCGAAACGAAACGGGGTATAGGTGGCTGTGTACGTGTGCGCGCATCGGAGGCGCCCGATAACGACACGACGTACGTTTTAATGGTTTTACGATTGTCCCGTGAAGAGTATTAATAATGCCGGAAAACAGACAGCCAATAGAAAACTCGATATCACGCCCAAATCTCGATATGTTCGCGAAATAATATGCTTGACTTTTATAAAAAGTGAAACATATAACTTGTGAATGTTTTATCATTGCAACATCCGATACTTAGTTGAACTGATCACATGTTCCCAGAGAAACTCTGTCAACGTATGATGCATTTCGTAAGATTTTTGTAATGTCGGTTAGAGCACGGACGGACAGCATGCGTTAATAAAAATCATAACAAAATCAGTATTTACTCTGTATTTGGCTTGTCCAATTTTATACGAACTGATGAATTGTTTTGGAAATTCGTTTTTGTCGTTTTATACAAGTGTACATTCTGTTTCTTTGATATAAAAAATACTTTGACCACTGAATACAATAGAAGTAATAAAAACCTATGCATTTAGGTATCAGTGCATCGATGCTAAATAATAACAAGAGGAATGACTAAAAATAGAAAGCTATGAATATCTTAAAAAAATGTCACCACCGTATAACATCGCAGGCTCTGATCATCTGTATCTATTTTTATTACCCTTGACAGAATGTCTATAAAATGTGTATAAATTAAACGCATCCGCGACACCGTGTCAGGGAGATAAATCAGTTGCGGTTGAGATATTTACGAATGCATAAATTTCGGGAGCGCTTTTATTTCTATCCAATTGTTCGAACGAGCGAAGAATCCGAAAGGGTGGGCGGCGGCAAAAACTTTAATCGATGAAATTCCACGATTTCGTCGATGGTTCGCGTGCGTCACGGGAGGATCCTCGCCTCCGTCGTTTCGCGAGAAGAAGTTAAAAGGAATTTTCGTATAAAAGGACTATGCGCAAAAGGACCGGTGTATTCCGCGAGGAGAAATTCCAGCGACGTCCTGCGTCCCCGAAGAGTTATGGCTCGAGGGACACGAAGAAACACGGCATGCATTTGCGAGTAACCGTATAATAGAGCCGGCGTTGTAGCGATGCCAAATAATTTCGCTGGGTCAGCCGGAAATTTTCGAAATACAGAAATTACACCTGAATCCAGCCAAAAGTGACGGGGCTCGCCTTCCCCGACAGAGTTCGGGATAATAATATAATATAATGAAAATACGAAAGCGAGGATCGCCTCAGGCACCGCGTTTATTATACCATTTAATAGCGGTAAACGGATCTTTATGAAAGAATCAATTTCAGAGGTGAAAAGTCCTGAGAAAATGATCTAACTAATTGCCAAATTTCTAACAAAAACAATTTATAGCTTCATTTCGTTTAATTATTCCATTCGATTGCTCTAGGCAAATAATTGTAATATTAATAGTAATTACAATGAACAAATTTCTATATCTGCAATATTTTGTTATTCGATTAATTTAATTGCTCAAAGTTAAATTGCATTTAATACCTATTAATAATTTTTGATAATATTAGAGAAAATCAAATTTGCTATTGGTAGCTAAGGCAATAATTCAAATAGTCATGCTTTCTTTATTTATCTAACGTAATTTAGCACTTGTACATTAAACGGAATCATCAATAGCTGAAAATCAATAATACCCAACAATAAAATCAATCGGGAATTACCAATTCTCATACATTGCGCAAGCACGCACATAATTAAAGATTTGTTAAACCGCGTATATAATTAAACTTTGATCGAACTAATTACAATATGTATGAGTGCATATTAGTTTCGCATAAATTTGATAACCCGATAACAAACGAAAATTCTCCACTGGTTTTTTTAGGTATGAGATTTAGATTACGTTGTTTGCTTGTCTCGAGAGACGTATTTTGTTAAATATTTTGTCTTTACTTATACTAGCTTATTATATACAGAAATATGAAAAATATATATGCTTGACTCTTACTTATACTCTAATTACTCTTTACCTCGCGTTTTAGAAATGAGAAAGGATTTATGTTATTTATTGAATTACTGAACGCGACATTAATCACGACGATAGATACTTTAATATCTCTGAAGTCAATCTTCACTGAGCTCGTAAGTCCTTAACGTTTTCGTTTCACGAATTTGTTTTCAGCTCGGAGATAGGGTACGCTGGGTCTCCGCCAAGGGAGGCGCTGACTAGGGGCATGAGCATAGATTCCGTGAACAGGCCCTTTCATCCGAGCGACTGGGTCGACGTGAACCTCGAAGTGCCAAGCACACCGACGAGGCCGGGCTCGGCGCTCACGAATTTAATCGTCGACACGAGCCCCTGCTCGGCCACCACTCCCACGTCCAGCTGTAAGCTCGCAATTTATCGTTGCCTCGTATTGCAACCTGTATCCTTAACGAGAACACGCTCGTTCCGACATGTCCGCTGATAAGGATAGCGTTTCGTGTATCCTGAACCCCTCCACCTGTCGCATACCCTCGGTTGTATTGCGTTCTGTAAACGAACAGCTCTCTTCCACCCTCTTTCCAAACTCATTCGGATTTTTAAACGAGGATACTATTCGTTCAACAGAACTGGTTCCAAATGATTTAGAATCATCACTAAATTATGAATATTTAAAATGAAATTAAAATCATCCTGCAATTTTTCATTTCGGATAAAAGACCGTAGTTTATGACTCGATTATATCTGGTTAGGTTCGAATTTGAAGGACGTGACGCCGATCCCGCCACCGAGGCGTCGAAAACGCAACAAGGGTAGGCCGTTGCCGCCGAAACCGGACGAGGTCGGCTCAGATCAGACATCGAGCGATTCGAGGCGAATCAAAACCTGCGGCGACGAACCATTATACTCGTCGGTGAGGTCGCCGAAAACCAGCGAAAACGAACACGAGACGAACGAGGTGACTGAACATCGTACAAAGGACGACGAGGCTGTGCGCAAAGACGGTAGAAGGGTGAAGGAGATTTACGAACACAAGGCAAGCACTGCGAAATCCAAATTTCCATTGTAAATTTATCCGGGGATTCGATATTCACAAGAATATTTACTCACGAGCGGCGCGGAGCCCGCGATTCGGCAAACAAAAGGGAATCTGTGAAACAAATATCGGCGCGACATTAAAAATTATTTACGGATCGCGTTGAATCGAACCAGCCATTCATTGCTTGGTTCACCGATGCAACCAGGAGAATTGTGTTTCCTCGTAACCAAGTTAACAGAATTTTATTAATATATATGCTTGACTCTTACTTATACTCTAATTACTCTTTACCTCGCGTTTTAGAAATGAGAAAGGATTTATGTTATTTATTGAATTACTGAACGCGACATTAATCACGACGATAGATACTTTAATATCTCTGAAGTCAATCTTCACTGAGCTCGTAAGTCCTTAACGTTTTCGTTTCACGAATTTGTTTTCAGCTCGGAGATAGGGTACGCTGGGTCTCCGCCAAGGGAGGCGCTGACTAGGGGCATGAGCATAGATTCCGTGAACAGGCCCTTTCATCCGAGCGACTGGGTCGACGTGAACCTCGAAGTGCCAAGCACACCGACGAGGCCGGGCTCGGCGCTCACGAATTTAATCGTCGACACGAGCCCCTGCTCGGCCACCACTCCCACGTCCAGCTGTAAGCTCGCAATTTATCGTTGCCTCGTATTGCAACCTGTATCCTTAACGAGAACACGCTCGTTCCGACATGTCCGCTGATAAGGATAGCGTTTCGTGTATCCTGAACCCCTCCACCTGTCGCATACCCTCGGTTGTATTGCGTTCTGTAAACGAACAGCTCTCTTCCACCCTCTTTCCAAACTCATTCGGATTTTTAAACGAGGATACTATTCGTTCAACAGAACTGGTTCCAAATGATTTAGAATCATCACTAAATTATGAATATTTAAAATGAAATTAAAATCATCCTGCAATTTTTCATTTCGGATAAAAGACCGTAGTTTATGACTCGATTATATCTGGTTAGGTTCGAATTTGAAGGACGTGACGCCGATCCCGCCACCGAGGCGTCGAAAACGCAACAAGGGTAGGCCGTTGCCGCCGAAACCGGACGAGGTCGGCTCAGATCAGACATCGAGCGATTCGAGGCGAATCAAAACCTGCGGCGACGAACCATTATACTCGTCGGTGAGGTCGCCGAAAACCAGCGAAAACGAACACGAGACGAACGAGGTGACTGAACATCGTACAAAGGACGACGAGGCTGTGCGCAAAGACGGTAGAAGGGTGAAGGAGATTTACGAACACAAGGCAAGCACTGCGAAATCCAAATTTCCATTGTAAATTTATCCGGGGATTCGATATTCACAAGAATATTTACTCACGAGCGGCGCGGAGCCCGCGATTCGGCAAACAAAAGGGAATCTGTGAAACAAATATCGGCGCGACATTAAAAATTATTTACGGATCGCGTTGAATCGAACCAGCCATTCATTGCTTGGTTCACCGATGCAACCAGGAGAATTGTGTTTCCTCGTAACCAAGTTAACAGAATTTTATTATTTTTTATGGTATAGATAATATTATACAAGATTTATTGCACGATATTTGGAGTTTCTAGGATTTCATGTGCAGTAATGATTTTTACAAATTATACAGATTGCAATTAAACATGCTTAGAAACTTATGTCTCTTAAGTTTATCAGTAATCTAGAATTCAGTTATATAAAACTATGAATTCTTGTCCAAAAATGTGTATGTATAATAGCATGAAAGTACAACACATAGGACAATTGTTTTCACCTATCATTATGGCACCGCAATTTCTTTTCTTCCCTAACAAACGCATCAATCTCTATGGCCGCAGGTTAACGGTACCGGAAGGATAATATCTAGTGACGTGGTCTCTGGTAGGAGGTCTATCGAGAATAGTCAGCATCAACGCAATGCTCAGGAGAGCGAGGAGTACGAGAGATTCGCGAGGAGTCGAACGAGCTGGAACTCGTCGACTCCAAATCGTGAGGAGAAAAGGGGGCCTATTGAGAAACAGATCAGAGATTCCACGGAGAATTCGAGATCTAAGAACTACAGCACCGTGAGCCTGCCGAATTATGACGAGTTGGATACAACTAGGCATCGGTCAAAAGACGAAGACCACGATGGTTATCAGGCCCAAACGAAAAGGGCCAGGAGACCCGTCAGGAGTAGCACTGGATCTCTTCCGGCTGAATCCTTCCTCTCACCGTTTTCTGAGGTACGCAACTTCCAATTTTCGATCGATGTCTTCCTTAGGGTTATTTCAGATTCAGAGCGAAAAATTCTTTTATCCGAATTCTTGTGACATGATTTAAGGTGTTTAGGGAACTGCGAATTATTGAATATTTGTTATGAGATGCATTATTAAATAAATTTTCACGTGCTATATAGAGAAAAGCTTTATTTATAAATAAAAGAGAGTAAATTATGACTTAAGGTAGTTATTACAAAACGATATTAACAAAACGAAAACTGATTG